CCCCCCCCCCCCCCCCCCCCCCGCCCCCGCGGCTCCCCGACAGCGCGCCGCTCCGACCAAATCGAAGGCGGCGGCGGCGGGGGCAAAGCCGAAGGCAGGGACCAAGGCAAAGGCGCCCGCTGGCCGGAGCAAGGGCAAGAAGGCAAGCAAGGTCACCACCGTTCGGAAGGCTTTCAAGATTCAGGCACGAGCCTCGCCTCAGCAGGAGAGGCAGGGAGGAGAAACCGGCGGCGGAGGTGGGGGACACGCCGTTCCCGTGGCCGTGCAGGCAAGCTCCACCTCGGCAGCGATCTAGCTTCCTCAACTCATGCCGACAAACGCTCGGTGTGTCGTGGGGTACGGAGAAGGATGCCGAGAAGGAGGGGGGTTAGATACCACGTGCTTTTCCTGTATCTCTTTTGCAGTGTCCTCACGGGAAACGCCAGCGGTGGCGGCGAGGACGATCTGGGGTGACGGGGCGTTTTGTTGTCGCTGGTCGGAAGGCTTCAGGGGCGGGGGTGCTGCGACCCTGTTCTTGTGCGATCAAATTTTGAATACCATGGAACGATGGACAGCGCGCTCCCCTTCCGCTTGGTTGGATAGATTGAGCCAGGCTGTTTTCAGTGAACGGCGGAAGGTTGAAATGGACTGGGAGGTGGGGGACGGAGGAAGACAGAGAAGGTGTGTAGCACAGATGACGGAGGCCCCCTCATGGGGGTGAAAAGTCCACGGGTGGGTGGGGACGATCTGTGGTGCCAGCGAGTGCGTTGGGGAGGAGAGAAGTGGTGTGCCTCGATTCAAGGACAGGCGGCGCGTGATCCTCGACGATAGGCGTCGTCCCCCCCTCGCCCTGGCCCCGCCCCTCCCTCTTGTGGATGGTGTAACAATAGAGTGAACGCTGACGAGTTTAGAGTGGTTCGGCAACTAGAAAAAGAGCATCGGGCGGGTGGCGGGAAAAGAAACTTCTCAACTGCTACATGCTGGAGTTGTTGCAAGATGTTGAGAAGGCATTGTGCCTCATTATCCTTGATTTTTCTCGTTTTGGTGTTCTTTCACCACGAATGAAGGGCGACCAATCAGTGTTGATTGACGCTGCTGGTTCGTCAACACGCACGCGATGGGAAGGGGCGATACGAAAAGCGAAGTTGTTCTGCGCGCGGTCGGCCGCAACTGGGGTTGATTAGAAACGGTGTGTTTGCATGCTTCGCTGGGCTGACGTTTGGGCGTGGAGCCTCTCACGTGCCGGCCGTGCGATTGGAGTGGGGTTGGTGCTAATAGCTCGGACCGGAGGGTGGGCCTAGCAGCACTAGATACAGAGATTACGCGCGGCGGCCGCTTCTTGTCAAGGGCGTCCAGATGAGCTTTGGAGGACATTTATTTTCCCTGGGGGTGCATCGTGAGTGATTGCGTTGCTGGCGTTACTGGCGTCAGGTGTCGTTGTTATTATTGTGTCCAGCGTGAACAATCGCGCGCATGTAGTATAGACTAAGCTACCGAAAACAAATATTGCGTGTTGAACGGGATGTCGTGTTTTGAGTGTACTGGTTGCGCTTTGTGTTGTGGGGCCGTCCAATTTTGGGATGTAGGTTGTCAATCAGTAGGTTTGCCGGGGTAGGGGGGTTATGAGGGAGCTCTTGTTGCTTGCTCCAGTGTTGAGACAATTCGTTGCATGTCCTGGCCTCAATTGTAAGTTTTCGCGGGTACAGTGTAGATTCCGTCGGAACAATTTTCTCTGCATATACTCGAAAATCGACCGTATCACCGTGCGTGCCACTCTTTGTCTTGATACGGTCTCGAGAGCCTTTGCAGCCTTTGAAGAAAGCACGGTGCCGACAGTGCAGAAAATCTCGGAGTTGTCGTTGTAATGTTTTGTGTTGTGCTTTCGTCCGCCATGTATTCTGGGGGCCAGTTTACACCTTGCTGTCGGTATATATTTCATGCAACAACCGGAAATGAACAAAAAGGTTTTGCCTCTACACACTGTATCATAAAGAAGAGGTTGGTTTTTCAGGGCTCGGAAAGAAATTGGAGGTTCCTTAAAATAGCACAGCAGTCTAGTTTGAAAGTAGTAGTTGTTTCCGCTGGCTGGATTGACGCAATATATCAGATATGTATGATGGGGAGGGGGCGTCTCGGCATCATGCACTACTTCTGGTTGCCTAGCACGCGGCGGAGCGGTGCCATGCCTTCCTTGCCTACTACTACTAGAGACGAGGTAAAAGAACCTACAGTCTACACACATTAGCACCCTCACAATAGGCGAGCGGCGCTTACATGGCTTTAGTGAACACGTTCTTGTTTTACCCACAAAGAAAGGAGTTTCGGGGATGCGACATTATGATATGCGTTTGATGGAAGGATACGGGTGGTGTACACGTTAGAGATCGTTCTCAGATGCGCACTCACAATTTTATTTTTACCTTCGTGTATTGGCCGGGCCCCCCGTTGTTCGTGCCATAGACTCTACATGTAGTCTAGTCATTGGGATGCATGCAAAGACAGGAGTGCGGACTGGACGGTTGTAGAGGATTGGTTTTTGAGAGTGTAGGCAGGTACGTGTGCCCGGTGGGTCGTGGTGGTTTTCGTGCTTCACAAGTCAGCTTCATTGCGTGCGACGCGAGCTTCGTGCGACCGCAGGGAAAGAGGATGGGGTGAGGAAAGGGGAGCGCGGACCCCGTCAACACCCACGTACGCAGGAAAGCTTACGTTTGTTGTGCTTTTGGGTGGCGTAAACCAGCGTCTACGCACCACCTGTAGTTGGATGACCTCGAGAGGGGGCAGGAGGTGAGAGAGAGGAAGAGGCGGGGGGGGGGAACCGGGCCATGACAAGTTGATCGGGTGACATTTTCGCGCACCTGAACAATACAAGGGGACATGGGATGATGGGCCAACAACCGGTCGCAACGAGGAGGAATGTATCTACATGTATCAAGTTTTCCCGCGCACCGTCAACGCCATCGTACGAGATGACCATACTCTTGTTTTTATTTTAAGAGCGACGAGGACACTCAGTTAGCTACATACTTCCTTTGCCGCCATCTCTCATCGGAACACGCGTAGAAGCAAGCCTACCTATTGATTGCTTTCGTTGTGTTCCAAGCAACGAAGTGGAAACCCCGAGCCGGTATCCGGGCCGGGTGCGTGTGCCGCCTCTCCGGCCACAGCAAATACGGACGGTGCCCGCCTTCCATCCATCCTCAAGCTTGGTAAAGTCCTACAGTAGTAGCCTTCCCGCACACACGCCCTCGACGTTGTGGGAGGTATATACAAGACAGGAGCACTCGTAAACGCAACGATGAAGCTTCTTGTTCGCGTCATTTGTTGCTGAGCACGGCCCCCGCCAAAGGCGCCGGGGGAGAAACAAACAAATAGTCACACGTTGCCAACACATCACGAGGCTGCTCGGACGGATGAGAAGCTGTGGCTACCTCGGGGGGCGGTGAGAGCGTATATTCCCGTCCGAAGAAGCTCTCCAGAACCAAATACTTGGAAGTACCAGACACCGATGCTTCCCACCAACAACCGGCAAGAATAGAATCTCTCCGCCCGGCATCTCCGCCCGGCAACCACTCGCTACCATAGTCGCAACGCACCTTTACCCCGGCACCCACCAAAACCACGTCCCTTTCCTCCGCCCGCAAGCTGATATCGCTCCCTCGTCCAACCTATTCCCTCCCTGCGCAGTAGCTCCAACGCACGGCCATGCGTGCTGCCCACTCGACAGCGGCACAGCCTTGTCAACCCCGCGGAGATACAAAAACATGTATCTGATATTTTCCCATCTATCGGCCGATTCATCACTTCCCCTTAGACTTGGAGCGGTTTGATCGTGGCTTGACCTTTGGTCTAGTCGCCGGCTCTTCTCGCTTGCTGCCGCCACCGCCGCGACCTCTAGACTTCCCGCCGGCAGCCTTGTTCTCCGTCCTCCATTCAGCTTCTTCTTCCGCCGCCGCAGCAGCAGCAGCATTGGTATCGCCCCCTGCTGCCGCTTCTGCGGCCGTCGCCCCCTCTGCCATGTCGGTATCCCCGGAACCAGAAGCAGCAGGCCCCTTACCCTTACCCTCGGCGGGGAGGCCGCCGCCGCTGCTCTGTTCTCGCGGCTCCTCTTTCGCCGCGGGCAACGTACCGGCGCCTGCGGTCGCGCCCCCCTCACCCTCTCGACTCTTTGAGCCGCCGGCAGAGGGCTTCGTGACGCCACCGTCGACCGCGGCGGCGGCACCCGCGTCACTTCTTGATCTGGCCGTCCCCCTCCTCCCTTCTGAGCCGCCGTCAATCCGTCCTTCCTCTACTGCTGCTGTCCCTTTCGACTCCTCGACACAACTATCACCACTACCACCCGCGGCGGCGCCTCCACCAGCCGCATCATCCCCCTCGTGCTCTTGCTTGACCGCCGTTTCCTTCACGGCGCTGGCCGCCTTCGCCGGCCTCTTCTTCGGCTTGAAGTGGCGCTTCGGGGCAGGACCACGCGCCGCTGCTCCTGCTACTGCTGCTGCTCCCGCGGCTGCAGGCCCGGCTTTCGCCTTCCCCTTGGCGGCGGCCGCAGCATCAGCCTCTTCGATGACGTTGGGCTTCTCTTCCTTGGGCTCCGCCCCTCTCGCCGGCGCAACCGTCTCCTCCTCCTTCTCCTCCTCCTCCTCCGTTATCTCTTGCTTGGCGGCGACCTCGCCCCGCCTCAGGACGCCGAACGACGGCATGGCGCGCGACATAGGCGCTCGAGCGGCTGATGCCGACGCCGCCGACGCGGCGCGCGCCGCGTCTTCCAAGACCTTGACGAATGTGCCGAACGTTGGGCACGACGGCGGGGCGAGGATGTCTTCGCCCAACCTCTCCTGTAGTTCACACACGCCGACGGGGAGGACGACAGGTTCCATGAAGATTAAGATAACCATAAACTCAGCTGCTGTAGCAGCAGCAGCAGCAATAGCGGTAGTGGCACAAGAGAACCAAGTACGCTAGCAGCAAGTATATGCGTAGGCTGTTGGTCCTCATACAAAAGCACGCTGCGAGCTCATAGCGTGCGCGCGCAAGCCATGGTTGCCTACCAAAAGGGCCGAGATGGGGGTGTGATATAGTCTATTTAGAGATGGGTGCAGCGGGTATGCTGGACCGACTTGGCAGCCTTGGAGGTTGGGGCTCACGTGTTGCTGCATCACCTACGGCGCGGCGAAGCTCCTGACGACCACTCCCAGGTGCACGTGGGCAGGCACACGTGGCGAGGATAGGTTTGCGCAACGTTCGCCATTTCTCTCTTTGTGTTAAAGAAATAGAGCAGGGGGGGTAGGGACCCCGTGAAATGCATCAAAACTGATAAAAAAACATTCATCACACCAAAATGAAGGTCGGTTTCAAGGAACAAAGCATCTTTGACTTGTGCAGCCCATAGGCTTGAAATCACCATCCTTCACCTTCAGGATGGACTCGTGCAGCGTCCATCTCTCCTCCTCGAGCTCGACGATCTCGGGGTACTCCATGCCGAACGTCAGTCCGTCCTTAACCTTGGGCACCCACCTGCGGAGAAGTCAGCAGTTCACGCCATGAATCCATGCAAAAAAAAAAAAAAGCTCCACGGGGCGTTTCGTGTCTGCTGGGCAAGGAGAGAAAAGACAGAAAATAGCAATACCAATTCACAGCAGTTTTGATCATTGCCGGTAGACGCATATTCTCAGGACCGCCTTTTGGTTGCTCTCTCCAATGGGGAAACACTTCACCAGTAGTAGCATGCATGGTGTGAGCCACCTCTCACCTTCTGTCGACCGTGTCGAGCTCGGCGATATGCGAGAGGAGTTCCTTGAGCGTTACGGGTTCGAGTTCGGGGAAACGTCTTTGCAAGTCAGGTCGGCTCACGGCTCCGTATCTGCACCATCGGGCGCCGGGGAGCGGACGGCGAGCAAAACACGCGTGACAATCAAACAGCATCATTAGTAACAGAATGTGTAGACTGGTGAACGCAATAACAACAGAGGATGAAACACACACCAAAAACGGTAGGTTCAAAGAATGCATGATCGCGAACCACAAAGGCTGCGTGATGACGCGGTCGAGGGAGACCGGCCGGAAAGGCGGGGACAGTTGTCTAAGCATGCGGGAACCTAGCTTGCTGTATAAAATAATAAAGATCATCGACGCAAACAGAGAAGAAGCGGCGGCCCGCAGCAGCAGCAGAATGCCTACCATGCCCACCTGTGAAGCAAACACTGCGCGACCGACAAGCAGTCAGCGGCGTGAGGGGGGCCCCGCGGCCAAACGTCCGCCGGCAGAGCCGCCCAGTTGCCTCGCATCAGCAGCCCCTTCTGCCGCCCTTCCACGCTCAGCGCCTGAAGCACGGCGTCCGGGGACATGTTGGTCACGTCCAGCAGCATGCTGAAGGGCACGAGGTGCGCCAGCTTGAGATACGCGACAACCTGCCGGGGTGAAAAAGGAGCACAGGGAGGAGAGTATGCGAGAGGAGGGGGAGGGGAGGGGGGTGATACGTACAGACATGGACGAGCGGGGGCAAAAATGTCTTCTAGCATCTGTTAGTCCTTGGGAGCTGCTCCAGATATTCGAGACCCGTTCAGAATGTCGACAGCACACAACGTTTCCGTGAAGGCACGGCATTGTTTCATGCGTGAACACTCAACCGTACAAGGCCGCAACTACACCGCAACCCCTGCAACAGTCCGTACTCAAACCTCTTGCTCGTAAGGTACTCTAGAGATGTGTCAAATCGAGAAAACAACGGCATGAACACGGCGCCACTGCCATTTAGCAAGCGTACCTTGGCATCCCCCCCCAGCTGTTGCACGGGAGCCGCGGGAAGGTTGACGGGAGAGTATGTGCCCGTTCCGGCGGTGACCAGGTCAATGCTATCGACCAGAGATCTGCTCGCGAGCAGCAAGATTACCGAAGCCAACGAAGGCAACAGCGGGGGGGAACATGGAACATGCATGTAGAGAGAGCGTCAGCTTTGCGTGCCGGGGGCACAAGCAACAAGAGAGGGAAGCGCTATGCCCGTCCGCGCGGCGAAACGTATGGGGGGCGCCAAGAACTGTTACGTCTAGCCTATCCATCGAGGGTTGAACGGTTGAAAAGGCCCAGGTAAGGTTCTGCATCGCGCGGGAACAATAACAATTGAACCAAGACACAGTTTGTCGGTGCCTACTTCACAACCACCTCAAGCACAAGCAAAACCCGTACACCATCACACACCACAGCCTCCACCACGAACCACAGCAGCCGCCACAACCACCCGGCCTTCGAAACCAAAAGAATCTCCACCTCACCGGACCAAACAGCACGCACCACCACCGATAAACTAACATTAAAAAAAATATACTCACCGTCCCCTGCCCCCGGCGGAGAAAGACTCCCCGTTCTCGTCGTACTCCTCCATGTAATCCAGCCCCTGGAGGTAACGCTCGCACGGGGGGAACTCCTTGGTGATCGTCCCGCGATTGGCGCTGGCGTCGTCGTCGACGAACATGCGGGAGAACTCGTCCAGGGACCGATCGTCGTTCTGGCCGTGCACCTGGCGCAATCCGAGTTCCCGGCGCAGCCGTATCCGCAGTCAGACTTCGAGAGCGGATTGACTTCCTCCCCTCCGGCGATTGGGCAAGGTAGGGAAGATTCACCGCTGCGGTATGCCTAGATTTACAACCCTGTGTATCCTTCGGACCCAACTGCGGCTCTGACGTGTGCCGTGTCGTGTCCCCACGCCTCAACAGTGCTAACACGCACGAGTGTTGTAAGGGCAAAAGCTAAAAGCTTACACCAAAACTGTACCAATATTGTAAAACCAATGGTCCACCAACTCGGCCGTCGCCTCAGAATCTCTCTCTCTCTCTCTCTCTCTCTCTCTCTCTCTCTCTCTCTCTCTCTCGCTCTCTCT